GTGGGCAGGGTGCTCACCAGTGTCCTGGGCACGGTGCTGGGCAGGGGCATCTGCGAGCCCACCCAGCCTGGCAAGAGACACAGGACAACACAGGCTTATGCGGCTCTTCAGTGCGGCTCTAACCCAGGCTGTCACAGGCTTCGGGGACACGGAGGGACTCAGTCTACCTGGGAGCCAGCGGGAAGGCTTCTCAGAGAGAGGATGGGTCCTGAGGGGTCAGAGGGGCAGAAGAGAGCCCTGAGTATCCCGAAGGCGTGAGGATGTGGCGGAGCCTCAGGAAGGAGCCTGTAGGGGCAGGGCCCTGCAGGAGGCCCCTGGTCCTGGGTTCTCCGCGGGTCCCAGGCCACCTCTGAGATGCTCTGCGGCCCCTGTCTCCACTCCAGCTGTGCCTGGACCTCCACCGACCTCTGCTGGCCCTGCCCCTGCCCCTGTCCCTGCCCCCCCTTCATCCGCAGGTATCACAAGTCGCCTTCCCTCCCTAAAGTACTTGCTCCTAGTTTTTCTTGTCCTGGGTCTTTGGGGGCAGGTGACTCTGCTCTGGGCCGTGTCTGATGTCTGGACAAGGTCAGTGCCTGGCCTGAGGGTCATCGGAGTGCAGGGTCTCCTAACTGGTCTCCGGCCTCCGAGGTTGCCCAGGAATCTTTTTGGGGCTCCCTCCTGGCCGCTGACTCTCAGCCCAGCCTGCACCCGTCTGGTGGCGACTGGCTGCCTACGTGATGAGCCCAAACCCCTCCGCCTACACCTGGGCCCTTTCCTCCAGCTTCCCGGCAGGAACTCCTGGTCATTCCCCGAACACACCACCCTCTTCCCAGCCCCTGCCTTCCCGCAGCCGTCTGCCCCGCACACTGGGCCCTGTCTGCGGCTTCCTTGGTTGCAAATTCCCTGGGAAGCGCCAGGCAGGGCTGGTGCCTGGTTCCTGCTGGTCCCGGCCGCACCCTAAACCCTCTCCTGAAGCGCTTCCCATAAGGACCAGCTTATAACGAGCCCCGGATGGAGCGTGTTCCCCGACATGGCGCTGTGACCAGTTTGGGCATCGCCGGACCCCCCAGACCCCCCACACCTAGCTCTGCACCTGCACCAACCTGAGGGGCCCGCTTGGTCCCTCTGCCTGTCCTCTGATGGGGGGAGGACGGTGCAGACAGAGCCCGGCCCTGCACCGCGCTGGGGCTGGGGCCCTTGGCTCCGAGGGGGGACATGGGAAGGGGACCGGGATGGAGCCTTATAAGAATGAGAACAGAGGTGATGGAGAGATGTGGGTGACAGGGAGACGTGGGTGACAGGTGTAGGTGACAGGCTGATGTACGTAGTGGGGTGATGAGAATCGGAACATGGGGGACAGTGAGGAGAAAGTCATGGAGAAGTGACAACTTTTTTCTGGGATGGAGAGGGGACCCTAAGGCCGGATGTTGAGCGGAGTCCAAAGGGCTGGGATGAGGGGAGGAGGGTGACCCCAGGGAGCGCCCCTCCCCCGTATGGGGCGGCTGGGAGTCAGACCCCCAGGGGCCAAGGGGTCTGGGTTCAGGATGCTCCCAGAAATGACCACAAGCACAGCCACCTCCCTGTGACTCGGCCTGTGGCCACTTGCCCCCCAGGACAGGTGGACAGGTGGCCCACAGCCTCTGGGGCGAGAGGAGAGGACAGCAGGGTCGGGTTTGGAGGCCTTTTGCTTTGCTGCTGTTTGAGGCAAGTGGTAGAGACGTTGGGACATCGACCCCTGGACAAGAACGTCCACTACGTGAGGGAACAGGCGAGACCTCAGGGAGGGGGCAACGTCCCGGGCAAGGACACAGACTGTGGGCACGCGGTGGGCGGGCCCAGGTTCTTCCTGATGATCTTTCCTTGTCGTTAAGAAAACATTCCTGGGGGTGCACTGAGGAATTAACGG